TCTCTGCGCAAGACGACAATAGTAGACCGGTCCTCCAAGATTGATTTATGCGAAAGGTGAAATGTACTGCTAAAATCGGTTAGACTCAATCATTGGCTAACACTATTCCACTACCATCAAAACACCCGCCATGTGAATGCAAAGCGTGTTGCGTTGTTATAACAGCCTAGGCAATCGCATAAACAGATTAATAAACACATCTCATGTTGGGTTAGACTCTGGTTAACTGAACCACGTGATCAATGATCATTCTCTAATTTGAACCCTCCACCCCCCCCTCTACACACACGCATCACTCGTCACTAATGAAAGCACACCCGTCCACGTCACAGCAATATAAATTATTACCGAAATGATCTTTAATAGTAGCATCAAGTAAATTCTACATCACACATTCTCCTGGGGGAAGTTGCAGTATCGATTTATGCGGATCAAGAAAATTCTCCCGATATTGGAACGGGTGTATCGCGTCTCTTAACTGATTTCTCACAATGAATTATTGAACAAGAAATTAAAACACAGCATTTCCGACAGCATAATAACACGATTCCGTCTTACTAGTTCCCAAATGGTTAGTGCAACATCCAGGGACTTACGAATAGGAGATTAGTTTGTTCGTTGTACGCTGAAAGGTGATAATGCTTTAAGTTAAGTGGAACGGTAAAACAGTAAGCACGTTCCATGCTTCTTGGCGAAAATGATGTTTGGTTGTATAGGACATTACCCGGGAACAGTGAACCGGTACGGATGACTAACCACTTCTGTGGAGCTTCAGCAGATAAGAAAAAAATCGATTGATGTGGATAAGATAAAGGGATTTCGACAAGAAAAATATAGATGATAAAAATTGGGATAAATAGGCTAATGGCTAGTGGCAAGATAGTGACAGAGACGAGGCGTGTAGCCTAGGGTTGAACCCAATTCAGAAGATCAATAGCAATGGCTGAAACTCCGTCACACACACATATACACGGGTGCGATTTTTAAGTGTACGAGAAGTTTGAGCTTTGCAAAATGAGAGAACTTTGGAAAAACGAAACTCTACTCTCTGTCGTACAGTTAGTTTGCATTTGAGATAAGAGATTCCCGTTGAAGAGAACCATAGACATTGGAGGATATTTCAGGTTTTGAAGAGATCACGATTGCGAGGGCTTCAAATCCATATAAGGTGCATAAATCTGAATTGAGAGGGATGCTGAGGAAAAGGGGTTAACGAGTCAGCCGTAGAAATGCCATCAACCCCAATCAGACGGGAGGTTCACTGCAAATGGCAAATTCCGTTATACTGATCGACTCCAGTGGTAGAGAACTTTTAGTATTAGAAAGATGTGTTGATCCCTTTAATTGGTATGCCAGAGTTAATTCACCTTAGATTCCGCGGGGCATCGAGTAAGGGTTTTTTTACCGTTCAAATTTAGCTCTGCTCTAATTTGCGAAATCTACCCAAATTTCTTCCAGTATTGAAAAAGTATGCGCGATACGCACTGATTCAATAATACAATTACAGGAATGGTGTCAGTTGAGCGGCAGAAGCCGCCAAACTCGCCGCGCAGTCCGTGTGTTCGAACACAGCCAACTTTTCGTCACTAAATAGTTAAAGAAGTAACCCTGAAGTGATTGTGTAATTGTCAAATAAATTAAGTGAAAAGATAATCGTTGTGAGAAAAGATGAGTTAAAATTACTTCAAGGTTCTATGGAAATGGGTTCACCAATCGGTGCGAAAATAATCGGTCTGGTTCGTACCT